TGTGGTAAAAGTAAATAGTGCATGTATGGTTATACATAGTAATATGTTTTGAATAAGAAGTACATGTGAGTTAGTGGATGGAGGTTTATTCAAGGGTATAAGAATGCCTGTTTAAAGGGATAACTATTCGTATGAAGAAAGGCAGTTGTTTGCAGGGTAGAATAAGATGTATGTTGTTGCGTTCACGTTTATATGCTTGGCAATGTGAACTTATAGATTGCTTGAATATATTTAACAGGTGACATGGCAGTTTCTGTCATGGCGTGCCGGGTTGGCTAAATAGGCTAGATGGTCTTTGGACTGCAATCAGCAGGACGGTTAGATGGTAGTCGGTATTTGGCATTAGAGTAGATGGCTAGATTGTAGTTGTTATTTGGCTTATTATTTGTAGAGCAATAAAGGATATTCTAGGCGTCATTTGCTAGTTTATCGTTGAGTGGATTCTGCTGTCAGTTGCTGAGTTTTATAGTGTGGGGACGTCCTGTTTATAACATAATATAACATCTGTCGGTTGTGTAACATGAGATAGACGACTTTGTAATGCTGTTTCTTAATAAACATGATTGTTAGTTGTTATTCTTTTATTCCATCGTTAGTTTGTTGAGTATAGGAGTGGTACTATTATTGTTAGTCTGTAGTCTTTATACCACCACCACTCCACTCTATATCTACTCTCTCCTTCATAAGACCTCCACTGACTATTACCTGATCGTTTGGGGTGTAGACTCATTACTACACTCTCCACACAGGAGAACCTATTGTCCTCTTATACATCCTTTAACTATTTTTTCTTCTCGTCTGTCTCTCTCTCTCTACTTTTATATCATCTCTTCTTCTTCTATCCCCTCTTTAAAATGTACACACCCACCACACTGTGACATTGTTCCAACTTTTTCTCTAATGCTGACGTTTGTGACTCTGTCTCTTCGTGTATTGTTGGTGACTCTTCGGAGACATCGCATTTCACACGTAGTTATTTTTTGCATATATGATTTGTTCATTGTCCACGTTTGGCACTGATAACATAACGTAGGGATGAAAATGCTGTTGATCATCCCTTGTTTGGCTGGTAACGAGATCTTTGGATGACGAAGAAGTGGGGCCAGTTGGTAGTTGACTGCATTAGCTTTTTGAACTCTAGCCTGTATCTCTTTATCGAGTCTTCCATCTTCTGTAAATATGCATCCTAAGTACTTGAATTCTTGAACTTGTTCTAATTGTATGTCATTGATCTTTATGTTTACATTACTGTGTTTCTTTCCTATGGTCATTACTTCAGTTTTTGGGGTGTTTCATGTCAAATTGTGTACAGTTAGTGAGCAATGAATCAACATGTTGTTGTAGTTTTTGTTCTTCTTGTAACAAACATTGTTTGTTATTTATTTATTTGATTTATGCGGTTGATTTATGCGGTTTATTGTACAAAATTCATCACATTCAGTTGCCTCAGGTCTTTTAGGTAGTGCTATAAATACAGACCTCAACTTTCTTCAAGTATATCTTTACTGTTGTAAATATCATTCAGCAGTTTTGTTAATGTGTCAACTCCAGATTCTCCGAGTACTTCTATTTCCTCTTTTGTAATTCGGTCGGGTCCAGCTGTTTTTCCTTTTTTCATATGTTCGATAGCATCATAGACTTCTTTTAGTATGGGTGGCCCTTCTAGGTTACTTTCTACTGTTAAGTCTGTTCTTTCTCCATTATATACTTCTCGCATGTGTTTATTCCATCTCCTTATTACATAAACTTCATCCATTATAACTTTCATGTTTTTGATTTTAAGCATCCCGTATTTACTCTTTTTTAACAAGCTGCAGATTTGTTTGCCAGAACATACAGTGTTGAAAGCAACCTGACCCTTAATCAGGACCATCAGAGAGAAATAAGGAAAGAAATACAAACAAGCAAACAAACAAATAAGAGACAGACAGATACTCCTGCCTCTATGAGGGAGCCATTTACCATGGGCGAACTACAAAATGCCATCTTTAGGCTTAAGTTAAAAAAGTCTGCAGGTCCAGATGAAATCAGCAACGAAATGCTAATCAACCTGACCTCATCTGCTAAAGTAAAGCTGCTGGAAATTTTCAACATCAGCTGGGAGAAAGGTTTTGGTGCCTCAAGTATGGAGAGAAGCCATCACAATTACCCATTTTAAAAAAAAGGAAAAATTAAGACAAAGGCTTCGAGCTATCGCCCAATTAGTCTCACAAGCTGTGTAGGAAAGACATTGGAAAGAATTGTAATTCAAGACTGAATGGCACTTAGAATCTGAGCAGATCTTGGTGCCAGAGCAGGCTGGGTTTAGGGAATGTCATAGCATAGAAGACCAAGTCACCTACCTGTCACAAGCTGTAGAGGATGCCTTCCAAGAGAAGAAAAAAGGTCCTGGCGGTATGGGTTGACTTCAAACAAGCTTTTGACAAAGTCTGGAAAGATGGTCTCATTGCAAAACTGAGAGAAATGGAATCCAAGAAACATGCTAAAATGGATCCAATCCTTCTTACACAGCAGGAGAACTAGAGTCAGTCGTGATGGCCAGCAGAGTAGAAAAGTGTTACTTCGGCAAGGAGTACCACAGGGAGGAGTTATCTCTCCAACTCTCTTTCTGTGTATATAAATGATCTGGTGAAAGACCTCCCTACAGGAGTAAAAGCTGCCCTGTATGCAGATGATCTGGCACTCTGGTGTACCGATGAACACACCACAGTGGCAAATATAAGAATGCAGCGAGCAGCAGATCTCTTGATGACATGGGCAGAAAAATGGCATGTTGCCATCAACACAGACAAAACATCCACAACGCTTTTCTCTCTTTCCACCAGGGACAAAGCTGCTAGTATCACATAGGAACATCCTTGCTAAGGGAAGAAAGCTTCCCCACTTATCTTGGAGTAACATTTGATAAAAGGCTCACATGGAGCAAACAATATAGAAAATGTAGAAGGGAAGGCCAGGAGACGACTAGGCCTACTTAGAAAACTGGCAGGTACAGGATGGGGAGCGATGGAAAAACCCTAAAGAAAGTTTATAATGGAGCGATAAGACCCCACTTGGAGTTTGGTGCAACAGCATGGTCAACAGCTGCTAATTCCCATCTACAATTGTTAGACAGAGTGCAAAATCAAGCTCTTAGACTCATCACAGGATCCATGAAAACTGCACCAATCCTGAAGATGCAGAAAATAACTGCAATGCAGACATTGTCCTATAGAAGAGACACTAAAAACTATGATCCAGATGGAGAAGTTTAATAGTATGCAGTCACACCCAATGAATAAAAGGTTAGATGATCTGGCATTAGGGCGTCTCAAACGTAGCAGCTTTGTCCATCGGGGGAAAAGACTTAGAAGACAGTATCAAGCTGATCTACCTATTAGAACAACACCGCTGAAACCTACCCTATACCCTGTACCTTGGGAGCAAGTCAGTGATACAATACAGATAATGACTTCAGTCAATGGATTCACAACTGGAGATGAGTCCAATGATCTTCAAAAACGAACAGCTGCTCTTAGCATGATTCATGAAAACTATCCCGAACAGTCATGGATACATATTTACACAGATGGATCAGCAACCAGTGCGGTTGAAAATGGGGGTGCTGGAGTCTTTATTACATACCCAGGCAACCACCGCCACACAAAGTGGATACCCACTGGTAAATTCTGTTCCAACTACACAGCAGAGATTGTAGCACTAGAGCAGGCTGCCGAAATGTTACACAACACCAGTTCTGACTGCCACCAAGTGGTTATATTCACAGATGCGCTTTCAGTGCTTCAAGCCCTCAAGAGTGGCAAACTCCCTCACTTGAGATCTAAACTTGGCAAGGTGGCTGCCCAAAAGTGTACTGTACTCCAGTGGGTGCCATCCCACTATGGTATACCAGGAAACGAAACCGCAGATAAACTTGCTAAAAAAGGGGCAGAATGTGACCAGGAAGAGAATGCAGTAACATACTATGAGAAGAAAAGGGCCATCCAGGCTATTAGAAGTGAACAGAGTCTGGCCAGAGATGACTACCACTTACTTGACCGGCATGGGCAGGTCATTGTCCTACGTCTCAGGACAGGACATAACAAAATTAACCAGCATATGCACAGGCTTCGTCTAAGTAGTTCACCTTTTTGCCCTTGTGGGCTATGTGTGCAGACTACAGAACATGTCCTGCAAGACTGTCCCTTGTTCAGCCCATTAAGAAAGGAATACTGGCCCAGTGAGTCATCACTGTACACAAAGTTGTATGGGACTAAAAATGAACTCATTAAAACAGTCAAGTTTATCACAAGAACCTGTCTGTCGGTGTAAATCAGAAAGCGAACACAAGAAGAAGAAGAAGAACTCTTTTTTCTTTCCTGTCAAGTCGCTCATTTGCCTATGCATACTTTTTGTATCTTTAAGGAATTTACTTCACTTTTGTTGTTTGGCTCATTTAACCACTTTTCTTTAGCACTTACATATTTAGCCCTGATTTCTTTGTGTATCTTGTCATATTCCTCTTTGTTGTTTTTATTTTGTTTGCGCTTTTCCATCAACTTCAAGATTTCTTTAGTCCTCCAACTCTTCTTAGCTTTTTGTTTTATTTCCTGTGAAATCCCTCAGCTTTTTTTGCTGAACGGAACGTATCACAGCGAGAGAGCAGAATCTATGTATTTATACATACACCTGTGTCGACTGCAGACAAAGTAACGAAAGTGGAGTTGTACTGGGCACAGTCTTAAACAAATAGGAAACAAACGGTCTAACAAAAAGAGGATGTTTAAGGGAAACAATAAGAAGAGCTTTATTACTAAAAGCTAAAAATGCTGGGCTGAACTCCATTTCAGAAATCCAGAAAGTTGCGTGCAATGGAGCAGAGTGGAGGGATATAATGCGAGCTACGTGTGACGTCTAACGGTAAACAAAGGATGACGATGATAAGGATGATATATGTGTGTATGCATACATATAATCATATATTTACATATATATATCTGTATGTAAAACGTTTTCTTTAGGTGACCTGGACCTTTCTTACACACGACTTTGTGATCTCTGATGGTAGCCAGGTTTTAACACACGACAAGACCAAGTATTCAGTCATGAACACAGTCGGTAAGCAAACACCTATAAATGCCACACAAAAAAGCAATGATTAAGTTTTATTTTTTTTTTTACTTTGCTGTTGCTGTTATGTACAGTTTGTTTGTTTTAGTATCCAGAAGCCATGAGTTGTTAACCCTTAGACTCGGTATTATGGATATCGCAACCTTTCGGCCTTGATTCCATTGTAAATACCATAAATCTGGGAGAAAATGTGGCTTTTTACCTACCCCCGGGATTGAACCCGGACCACAAGGAGTTCGTCACCCAGTCTCCGCGCAATCCGGTTTAGGCAACTACGCTAGAGAGCCGGGCGTTATGTACAGTTAAATGATAGATTATAGCATGGGATTTCAGGACCTCTTATTGTGTTAAGTGTGTTTCTTCTCAGACGCCCAGCTCTCATCCTTTCAACACTCCTATCTTCCTTCATTCTCATTCCCTTCCCTATGAGCCGCCTTCCATGCATCACGGTCTTTGACATTTTGTTCTCATGAGTCAACCTCGATACCTGTATCATTCACGTCGAGCTTGCACACATCTTTATATTGTAGAAAAGGTCGACCTCGACATCTTCTACCCATTGATAATTCATCATAGAGGATGTCCGAAAGGACTCTGCCGTCTTCCATTCTCCAGGTATGGCACAGACACCTGAGCGTTGTACTTGTAGACTGAGCACTGAGAAAACTGTTGTATCACTGGCTTTTTCTGACGCCTCAGTTTTTGTGATATGGTCTTAACAATTAATGCCAAGTATTTAGCCATTTCTCCTGGTGTGAATAAGTTGACCAGTTAAATATCAGTTTTTGTTCTATGATTATCCAAGTAACCATCACGGAAGAAACATCTCTATGGCCAAGCTCATTATATTTACGCAACTGTTGAGTTAAACAGTTTCGTTTAGTTTAAACGACAGATCAGCATCATGGCACACGGGTGTAGCCCACAAGTGCTCCGTTATACTTCTAACTCAAGCCGGAGTTAGAAGTCTCTCAGTGCAGTGCACTAATTCCGTTGCCCCGACGAGAATCCTGAAATACGTTGGGTAGATTTCCAATTCTAAATAGTGCCCGGTCAGGGTCGTTAGGCTACTCTTTTCAATTTCCAACTGCCAAGGGATTTTTTTTACGTTAAAAAAAATACACACGGGCGTCCGATCTTACTAAAAAGGGACAAGGGGAAATTACTAGAAGTTCACGTGAAAAAAATCCAAGCCTTCACCGGGACGTTAACCCTGTGACCTCCAGCACTATAGGCGGACACTATACCTGGAGACCACGCAGACCTCCCTTAAACAGTGACATTGATAATGTGTCATTTTTTGCACAACTCTACGTAAGTAAAATTAATACATTTTCATTGAGCACTATGTCATTGTCGGCGTCTGTAGTTTAGGCGTTGCGAACGCGCTTCATAATGTCGGGGTGCCGGGTTCGATCCCAGCTGCGGACGGTTTGTCTTGCGATGGTTTCGACCGTGGTACCGAGAGCCGACTTCCCAGAGGTCACTGGCAAACTACTGGACGTAAATTTTAGAAAAACCACAACAGCCTTAAAGTGCTGAGGTTGGTTCTGCATTGTCCTGTAAAGGATAGGTTAGTTGCGTATCCTTTATAGGACGTTGCAGAACCAACCCCAACAGCCCCTGGCTGTTGTGGTTTTTCTAGGCAAATTTACGCCCAGTAGTTTGCCATTTCTTTCTGGACGTTCGGCTTTCTTGATACCACTGACGAAACCAACGCATAGGACATGGCCCGCAGCTGGGATCGAACCCGGCATCCCGGCATTACGAAGCGTTCGCATCAACTTAGCCACAGAGCCGACTCCTGTGAAGGATACGTAACTAAAAAAAAAAAACTATGCTATTACTTTATCATTATCTGCTATTCTCTTAAATATGGACTGTCATGCTTTGCCAACTCACAAAACCATAAAGATTTAATAGGTTTGTATTTTGGTTGGGGGTGGGGTGAGGGTGGGGGGGTGGGGGACATCTGTCATCCAGCCAGTCCTTTCTTTATTTCTTTTATCATCATCTGTGCTGTTTATGTTTATAGCAAGCATTTATTTACTTATCTGGAGACAACGAAAAATCTGTGATCAGAGAAAAACTGTTAAATAAATGATGCATTGCTTGTTACTGAATTAATAAACGTACAAAAAGAGTTCTGGCTCAATAGTGGGGATAGGCGGGTTTATATGGACGGAAATTATAAAATTATGTCACTCAGAAACTGTGTTTAGTTCATGGTACTACACTGTGAGCTGTGGATATGGTTTGGAATCCTTTTTTTCTAAATATGCCCATTGGGGTTTGCAGTGTGAACAGCAGATTCATAAAATGACAAGTGGCCTGTGGCCACAGAACTGATGGTACTTTATATGATTTATTACACGTGCAACTACTTATTTGGTGTAACTGCTTCTTCAATCAACCATGAATTGTATTTCTAGTGTCGGCCTGTTTGTGTTGGTTCTTCTGACAGCCACCTTAATATATGTGTATGCTACGGGCTTTTGGGGAAATGGCTGTCCGTGTCACCTGTTTCATAAGCGACAGAAATAGACAATTTTGTGAGTTTTCCTTTGGCACAAGTTGGTTATTGTGGTTTGAGGTTTTAAATAACGTATCAACATCATGGCAGAGGGTAGTAAGTGCTCAGTTCTTCTTCTAACTCAAGTCTGAGTCCGAAGAAGCTCAGCACAGCGCACGGGCACCTGCTAGGATCCTGAAATATTGTGGATAGACTTTTGACTCAAAATGTTGCTCGGCGCCGTTAGGCTCTTTTCGATTTCCAGCTCCTAAGGGATTTTTTTTTTACGTGCGCAACAATGCACACGGACGTCTGATCTCACTACCCAGAGACCGGGGGGGGGTAGGGGGGGGGGGGGGGGGGGATAGAATTACTAGAAGTCTAAGTCCACGTGAAATATCCCAGCCCTTACCGGGGACTAAACCCGGAACCTCTAGCATTTGAGGCGGACACCATGCCTCGAGACCACGCAACCCCCTCTAAGTTGGTTAATGAAGTTGGGAGATGTCCTCAGTGCTAGGGTGTCAGTTCTTAACTCACCTCAACACCCTCAGTAATTGTCTTTATAATTAATTTCAGGTGGCAATGTGGAACAGTTTTATCTTCAAATTTTGAATATTGGTAAAGACGACCAGGGATTTTACAAATGTGCCATCGCAGGAACTGATCAACAAGTTATTCACCATCTGGACGTTGAAGGTAAACAAACATACGGAAACAAATGATTGCTCATCTTGATGTTTAAGTTGAAAACTGCAGAAGCAAATGATAACTTATCTTGATGTTTTAGGAAAACACTATATAAATAAATTATTACTCATCTTGATGTTTTAGGAAAACACTACACAAACAAGTAATAACTGACGTGTTGTTTTGGGAAAAGACTACAGAAAAAAGTGGTTACTAATACTGATATTTTAAGAAAACACAACAGGAACAAATTATTACGCATCGTGAGGTTTTAGGTAAAATACACTGAAACAAATTATTGCATATCTCCATGTTTTAAGAAAACACTAGGTAAATAAATGGTTACTCATATTGATGTTTGAGGTAAAACACACTGAAACAAATTATTGCATATCATCATGTTTTAAGAAAACACTGCAGAAATAAATGGTCACTCATACTGATGTTTGAGGTAAAAACACACTGCAACAAATTATTGTACGTTTCAATGCTCTCATTAACCAATCCAAATTTACCAAGTTTATTAACGAAATCAATGTCCATATCATCTTCTTCTTCTTCTTCACACTTACCAGCTGTAAACTCAGGCGGAATGCTATAGTTGTTCATCCACTTCTGCACTTTAGTCTTATTCCAGGTGCATGCACATCCATTTTACAGATGTGGCTTATTTGTATGCAGACTGTTGGTTGCTCGCCCCTCAGGCATATGCACTCTGACTTCTGAGGAAACACCCCTAATTAGTGGACCTTTTGACATGCTGTTAGGGGGCAATGGGTCTATTCTCTCTCCCCCCCCCCACCCCCCCCCCCTTCGAATGGGGCCTATCATTTCTAAAATAAAACAAAAACAAATTGGCATCATACTCCAATTCCAACTTACAGAAACTATTCAGTGCACACCCACTCATTTATAATTCGCATGCCGTAAGATAATGAGAAAGTTGGAGGAGAAATGAGGAAGAGGGAGACCAAGAGAAAAGATGCTAGACAGTTTGCTATCATGGCATGGAAGATCATCTGTGTTAGAACTGATGGAAAGTACTCGAGACAGAAGGTTGTGGATATATATGACTACCAACGCCACAAGGCATAGGCTATAAGAAGGGGAAAAAAAAACCCCACCTGAAATACTATCCTTATTGCTTATATTTCCTCACCACTAAAAGGTGTCGCACTTAGGGTTTGGCAAAGGGCTTGGGGGATGGTGGTGGAAAGGGGGGAGGGGTGGGGTCTTGAGCCCGATGGTTTAGGGCTTCAGGGCTAGTGCTGTCACCTCAGGCTGAGCCGATCAGGACTGTTTATTTGTGCCCCTGCCCCCCCACCCCTCCAAAAAAAAAAAAAAAAAGGAAAAACTTTTTGAATATGGTCTCCTGATAGATATCCCAGTGTTCTAACCACCTGGCCCATCTACTCATCTCTTGCTACAATTTGTTTAAATTGATTCTGTAAAATTTATATGCTGTTTGATAGTGTTTTACTGCTAAAAGACATCTCAAAAATAAATCAGATGCTTCGTGTGGGGGAGGAAGTTTGTGTGGTGTATGTGTGTGTGTGTGTGTGTGTGTATATATATATATATATATATATATATATATATATATATATATATATATATATATATATTTGTGTGTGTGTGTGTGCGCTTGTGTGTGTGTGTGTGTGTGTCAGTCAGTCACTCATTGTATTTTCTTTGTAATTGTTTATAGATATTCCTGACATTGCCACAGCAGAAGGGCCACCTATCAATATGACAGGTGAGTGTATTTAACTGAATGTTACTTAGCATGAGTTATAATGATATCTGAGCCTGTTTGATTTGATTTGATTCAAGAACCGACATCACAGCACTCGGGGCATTCCCATAAGCACTCCATCCCCATCTTCAGCAGCTAGCGAAGAGTTCCGATACTAAAGGTGCCAGTAGCTTTCTGATTAAACGTCCGTCTTGCCTTTCCTCTGAGCCTTAAGCATCTGCTAGAACCTCTTGTCACCCCCAACTGCATCAATCTCACCAGACTGTGGTGATCAATCTGCTCCTCCGAATTGTACACGCTCTCCCACAAGGCATTAACCACATCTGCCTATCATGTAACAGTATTCCACCAAGTTGTGCAGAGCCAGCCAGTATATCCGCCTGTTCATTTCCCAACACACCGGCGTAACCCGGTGAAAAAAATCCAGACAATACTCCTCACTCGTGTCCTCCGCAGCGAAGCATACCACTCTGCACGAAGCATACCTGTTCTGATCTTCTTCAGCATGCTTTCTGAATCAGTTACAATCACGATGTGTGTGTGTTTCATGTTCTCCAGCCAGCGGAAAGCTGCAGGGACCGCCTCCACCTCCATTCTTAAGCTGGATGTTGTGGTATCATATGCTAGGCTCTCCTGCACCAAACGTAGACTGTTAACTTTTGCTAGGAAGCCCCAATCACTTATGTTGCCTCTTGACACTGAACCGTCTGTATTAATGATCAAATCCTCTGAGCGAGCATTATCTTGAATTAATTGCTGAATTTCCACCTCTGTGGCACCTGCTGGCCAGTCTCTGCATTCCCGGCTCAGCGTGATTATGACTCTACACAAGTCTGACTGTTCAGGTGGCACTTTGACCCACTCCTCTCCTGTCCTAATGTTCTCAGGGATGCAAACCTGTCTAATTGTGTCTTCTGCCTGAGCCATCCATGACCTCCCTCTTATCAGCCGCTGACCCTTGACTACACCCAGAGCTTCATGCAGAGGGTGGTCTGTGTCTGCAACTACCCTGAGATATGACTTCGCCTGCAGCACTTTGTGCCTACCTGCAACCGTCGGCAAACCAAGGATGTATCGCATACACACCACTGGGGTGTCTCTGCTGGTGCAACCCAGAATGACCCGCATAGCCGCGTTCTGTGTGCGCTCTAGTTTGTCCATCTGACTTTTTGAGACGGTAAGCATTCCCAGGCCATAATCCACCACTGACAGGATCAGGTGCTGATATAGTGTGAAAAGCATTCTCTGCTCTATGTCACTTGCAGCCATAGTCTTAAGTGCACTAAGTCCTTTTTGGCATTTCGTCACATCACTCTCCACATGGTCTTTAAATGACAGGCTCCTGTCAAATGTAATTATCAGAGACTTCAGTTTGCTCTCTATGTTGACGTTTCTACCATCTATCGTGAGACTTGGGACATTAGTTTTAACGATTCTGTTGTCAAGAGAACACCACAAAACAGACGCCTTTTCCGGGTGGACGACAGCCCTCATATCTGTACACCACTCAGTCACTTTGTCTACTGTCGCTTGTAGCTCCCGGGCTGTTTGCTCCCTCTCTTCCCCCTGCCTATATGCGAGTATATCATCCGCAAAAGTCAGTATCCTTCCAACTCCTGGTGCTTCTAGGCTTGCAATCTTGCTCGTATACACGTTGAAGAGCAACGGCTAGATGGCGGATCCCTGTGGCAGTCCTGGTGCCAAAGTGCATGGTTCTGAGGTTCATAAGCCCAGTCGGAGAGCAACCCGACGTGAATACAGGACAGCTGCAACCCAATTCACCAGCCATGGACTGACCTCCTTCACCCTCAGTGAAGTCGTTAAGATGAAAGATCTCACTCTGTTATAAGCATCCTCGAGATCCAGTCCTACCGCCATAGTTTCCTGTCTGTTCTGGAACATTTCATAGACGTCAAAAGCAAAAGTGGCCACATTCGCCAAAGGGTCCTGTACTGGCCTGTAGCTTCCCAGACCTCTTGGGAGAAGCTTCCCCCTCTCCAAAAATTCTTGTAGCTTTACAGCAACTATCTTCTCCAAGACCTTCCCAAATTTGTTTTGTAAGGTGATGATTCTAAAGCCACTAAGCCTAGAATAATCTTTAAAAGGAATTGGTAGAGGGATTAGACAGCTGTGCACCCAATCCTGTGGTACTGGTGCTGTCTTAATACTCTGGTTAAAACAGTCGACCATCTCTGCCAGGTCTACATCGCTAAAAGCCTTCATGAGACCATACCTGACTCCATCAGGCCCTGGTGCAGTGTCTTTTGCTTTTTTGATATCTTCCACTTGTATCATGTCTTCATAATGCATATTCTTCAAGGTGCCAGCTTACTCCTTTCTAACTGCATCCCTGATGTCTACATCATTATGATATGTCTGAGCTATAAACCTATGGAGAAAAGCTTCCCCTTTTTCCTTGTCTGTTGTCACACGCATACCATCGTGTCTACAAATTGTTCCGACTGTCATAGGCCGATCTTTTCTTTGCATCTGCCTTTGCCGTTTCCAGAATTTCCCCAATGTTTTATCGCCTCCCATATCATTCAAAAAGTTTCCCACTTTGCTCTTTTGGCTTCTGCAGCACAGTGCTTGAAAACCTCCACCTTATCTTTTGTCACATTCTCCGCCATCTCCACTTCTTCTCGTGAGCTTAAGGGTGTCTGTCGTACTTTCTTTAGCTGCTTTACTGCGGCTCTCTTTGCCTATCATGCCAGATCTACTTCTGGAGTCCACCATGGGGGCTGTAGAAAATTAGTTCTGACAGTTCTGTTGCATGCTCCCCGTCTGAGGGGTCCAAGTAGGTTGTTGGTCCACTTATACTGGAAGGTCTTTCATGCTCTCCCAACCTTAACCTTACTGAGTTTAGAAATCAAGACTGAACATGGTAGGTGATCACTCCCATGATCATTTAGGATAGTCCAATTAACATCTAAAACCGACGAATAAGAGACAAATGTCAAGTCAATGGCTGTGTCTGCATTTTCAGACCTCATTGCCATTCTAGTCGGCCTCCCATAATTGATGCAGACCATATCGGAGTCAAACATGGCCTATGCAAGAGCAATTCCCTGTCGGTTTTCTCCACTGCTGTCCCATTCTCGCGTTGAAATCCCCACAAATGAGTAACCTATCACCCGGTAACTCCTTCAATTCCTTGAGCCAGCTCCATTGTTCACTTCTGACCTTGGCATATATATTTATAAGGTTCCAACTTGAGCGACCAATCTCCACCTGTATCCCTTGAACCTCTCGTCCACTGTGGTTCCACTGGCTCAAGTCAAGCACCACATGCTTCACTCCCTCCTTCACCACCATACCTTGTCCATGTCTCTCCTGTCCAACAGGGTTTATATAACTGACGTACCCCGGGCAATGATATCTGTCTGCATTTAGCTCCTGGAGCATGATGACATCAAAATAAAAATCAACCTCTCCTGTACAGGACCTCTCTGCCTAGCACTCCGACAGTTCCAGTATCCTACTCTTACACGATTAAAGCTCAATCTCTCCGCTTTTCGCCTTGTTCTCCCAGCACCCGCCCTCCTATTTCTATGCCTGCTTCTCCCCCCATTCCCTCATCGTCTCCTCCTTACTCCCTCTTCACTAACCGCTGAATAATGTGTCAAGCGAGAGCATGAGCTTGTAGCCTGCTTATGAAGATCAAGATTAGTGATCTCCAACTAGATTGATCTGACAGCATCCAGAAGTCTTGTCTATATATATATATATCTTTTGTGACAGAGTGTTCATGACCAAGTTGTCACTCCACAGTCGATTGATGCAGTTTTGTAACTTGCTACTTAACTCAACACTCAAAGAAAAGGCGAGATCGATGTACAATCAGACAGTTACTGGTACCATTGGAAATGGAACTCGTCGCTTGCTGCTGAAGATGGGGACGGAGCGCTTGTGGGAGTGTCCCTATTGCAGTGATGTCAATTGTTAATTCAACATTCTACATTCTACTCCAGTCATAAACTTGCTGGACTGATAGGCATGCATCACAATACTGGAACTTTATTTTCCATTGAATTTCTATAGATTTTACCCCTTAACTAATTTGTTTTTTCTTCTTCTTCACATTCACCGGATGTTTTTAGTTTTTCACCCACTGCTGGGCTTTACTCTTTTCCAGAATCTGCGTTACCGTGCACATCCATTTTACATACCTGGCTTAACTGTATGCAGACTCTTAGTTACTTACGATTCAGGCAGATGCACTCTGATTTTGAAGAAAACATTCTTAATTAATCGACTTTCCCGACATATTTGTTAAAGGCCAGTGGATTTATTCCCGCCACTCAACCCCTTTCCCCAACGGGACCCTCTAATACACAGAGGGACTCCACTGATCAAGAAATAGATAACAGATTGCTGCTTCTCTTTGGTTCATGCCAAGGTGGGTGGCCATCTTTAAACTGTCATGTGCCTAACACTCTTGACATCCTTAATAAAAATATTGTCGGGTTATAAGACAGTAGCATGGCGACTGTAATTTCTGTCATACTTTTCATGTGTTTAATGTCCCCTTGTGCCATATGTGAAGTGTGCCAATAGTGAGAACGGGATCCTTTATGCTGATTATGACATTTCCTTTTTTAAATCAGCATTCTTTTTTCATTCGCTCCCTAATTTGTAATCATAAATATCTTTATTACTTCTCATGTTCACTCATTTATTTAAAGTAACTAATTTCTCCATTATTATTTTGTTCACACGTGATTCACTCCACATTTTTCAGATTGCTGTTTATTCGAGAATGTCTCACAGTCTTGCTTGCCAGGTTGTTACCCAAGTCAGATTGATTTGAATACATTTAATGCCATAACTGAGTGTGGAACTGTGACCAACTTAAAAGGGCTGTCCAAATGTTTTACAGGTGAGTGAGTTTAAAATGAATGTGATAGACACTTTACAGGTGTGTAAGTTTATAATGAAAGTGATAGAGACTTTACAGGTGAGTGAGTTTGTAATGAAAGTGATAGAGACTTTACAGGTGAGTGAGTTTATAATAAAAGTTATAGAGACTTTACAGGTGAGTGAGTTTATAATTAAAGTTATAGAGACTTTAAAGGTGATTGAGTGTATAATGACAGTGATAGAGACTTTACAGGTGAGTGAGTTTATAATGAAAGTTATAGAGACTTTACAAGTGAGTGAGTTTATAATGAAGGAGATAGAGACTTCACATGTGAGTGAGTTTATAATAAAAGAGATAGAGACTTCACATGTGAGTGAGTTTATAATGAAAGTTATAGAAACTTTATAGGTGAGCGAGTTTATAATAAAAATCTCATATACTTAATAAGTGACCGAAACTATAATGGAAGTTATAAATACTTTACAAATTATACAGGTTATCATTTAAGTGACATAATGTTTTTTTTTTTTAAAACCTGTCAGTGATTTTCTAGTCAAAATTACATAGACTTTCTATGTTAGCGAGTTTCTTGTTCGTTATTTAGATTTTACAAGTAAGGCTCTTTTTAGTGGAGATTCTCAGAACTTTACAGCCTAAGGAGTTTCGAATAGAAATTGTATAAACGTTACAGGTTAAGAAGTTTCCAATAGACGTTGTATAAACTCACAGGGTAAGGAGTTGTCGAATAGACGTTGCATGAGCTTTACATGATATGGAGTTTCCAATAGAAGTTGTATAAACTTTACCGGTTAAGGAGTTTGTAATAGAAGTTGTATAAACTTCACAGGTTACGGGGTTTGTAATAGAAGTTGTATAAACTTTATAGGTTGAGGAGTTTATAATAGAAGTTTATCCATTTCACAGGTTAAGGAGTTTGTAATAGAAGTTGTATAAACTTGTTAAGTTGAGGAGTTTCTAATATAGGATGGATAGACATTACAGGTTAAGGTGTTTGTAATAAAAGTTGTATAAACTTTACAGATTAAGGAGTTTCTAATGAAATTATGCAGGTTTTACACTAGAAAGTTTGTGATGGATTCTGTATAGACATTACAGGTTAGAGGGTTATATATATATATATGGGTCTGTATGTGCGTATGTATGCAAGTTGTGTATTTTACTTGATACTCATACAATTTTATGGTTATACGAACACAACTTGTTTGAAGATGAAATACAGTCGCAGTATTGAAGACAAGTGTTTGAAAGGGCCGACTGTAAGACGGGCCTGCCTGCCTGCCAAATTTTTGACCCTTTGTAAAGAAATTTCGTTTGTTCGTTCATTCGTCTCCTAATCAGTGACAAAAAATGTCATGTTGTTTCCACAGCTGGAAGCAATCATGACAACTGCTGCCTGTTTATGAAAGTGGATCCAGTTTGCCTCGGATTTTGTCACAATGATGTTCCCACAAATATCAGCTCAGAATACAACAGGAAGTGTTTCACGGACAGTATTGTTAATGCAGTTTTTACTTGCTTTGAAATTGGCTTTGGTAAGTCTTAGATGCTCTAAATAATGTCGATTCTGTTTTCAGTTTTTTTTTTATTTTTTTTTTTTTTGTTTCGTTTTTTTCATTTATTTGTAAAATAAAATATTGAATGCTGAATTAAGAATCAGCATCACAGCACTCGGGACACTCTAATAAGTGCTTCGTCCCCATCTTCAGCAGCAAGGAAAGAGTTCCAATTCCGATGGCACCAGTAGCCTTCTGATTGTATATCCGTCTCATCCTTTCCCTGGGTGTTTAGCGTGGGCCATATCCCTTGGTAACTTCTCACTGCGCAGCGCCATTCTCCTTAGATTGTAATGATCTATGTGCGTCTCAACACAGTTCACTCGTTACCAAAGAGCCCTCACAATATCTAGCTTGTCACACATCAATTCACCACCAAGTGGTGCAGAACCGGCCAGTCTATCTGCCTGCTCATTTCCCAACACACCGGCATTACCTGGAGAAAATATACAAAAGATGCTAACTACCGGGGCCCTCTGAAGTGAAGCTTGCCATTCTGCACGAAGCATGCCCGTCTTCACCTTTCTCAACATGCTCTGTGACTCACTTACAACCACGGCATGTGTGTACAGCTGGTTCTCAAGCCAACGGAAGGCAGCAGAGACTGCCTCCTCCTCCATTCTCAAACTAGACGTTGTGATATCATGTGCAAGGCTTTGTTGCATTAAGCGACGTCCATTCGCTCTTGCTTTGAACCCCCATGCTCTTCGTCTGCCCCTCAACACAGAGCGCTCTGTATAAATAACCACATCACCTGGGCGGGAATGATCATGAATCATTTATTGAACTTCTGATTCTACAGCACCATCTAGTCTGTCTCTGCACTCACGACCTTAATATAAAATAAAATGAAAATGTTTAATCAGTATCGTCATTCAAGTCCACAGTGAAGCCGATGTGTTTCAAAAATTGACCGTGGCTCCCAGGTCAACCCAGCCTAAAATGGGTACCAGGTAATTTTGTGGGAGGTAAAGGCAGCTGGCGTGCTTTTGATATCACCCATTGAGGACCAAGTGGTCTGTACAGATATAGGTCCAGCAATAAACGCCTGAAGGGCCAAGTGGTCTGTACAGACATAGGTCCAGCAATAAACGCCTGAAGTGCCAAGTGGTCTGTACAGACATAGGTCCAGCAATAAACGCCTGAAGTGCCAAGTGGTCTGTACAGACATAGGTCCAGCAGTAAACGCCTAAAGTGCCAAGTGGTCTGTACAGACATAGGTCCAGCAATAAACGCCTAAAGTGCCAAGTGGTCTGTACAGACATAGGTCCAGCAATAAACGCCTGAAGTGCCAAGTGGTCTGTACAGACATAGGTCCAGCAATAAACGCCTGAAGGGCCAAGTGGTCTGTACAGACATAGGTCCAACAATAAACGCCTGAAGTGCCAAGTGGTTTGTACAGACATAGGTCCAGCAATAAACGCCCAAAGTGCCAAGTGGTCTGTACAGACATAGGTCCAGCAATAAACGCCTAAAGTGCCAAGTGGTCTGTACAGACATAGGTCCAGCAATAAACGCCTGAAGTGCCAAGTGGTCTGTACAGACATAGGTCCAGCAATAAACGCCTGAAGTGCCAAGTGGTCTGTACAGACATAGGTCCAGCAATAAACGCCTGAAGTGCCAAGTGGTCTGTACAGACATAGGTCCAGCAATAAACGCCTGAAGTGCCAAGTGGTCTGTACAGACATAGGTCCAGCAATAAACGCCCAAAGTGCCAAGTGGTCTGTACAGACATAGGTCCAGCAATAAACGCCTAAAGTGCCAAGTGGTCTGTACAGACATAGGTCCAGCAACAAACGCCTGAAGTGCCAAGTGGTCTGTACAGACATAGATCCAGCAATAAACGCCTAAAGTACCAAGTGGTCTGTACAGACATAGGTCCAGCAATAAACGCCTGAAGTGCCAAGTGGTCTGTACAGATATAGGTCCAGCAATAAACGCCTGAAGTGCCAAGTGGTCTGTATAGATATAGGTCTAGCATTAAATGCCTGAAGTGCCGAGTGGTCTGTATAGATATACGTCTAGCATTAAATGCCTGAAGTGCCGAGTGGTCTGTACAGATAAAGGTCCAGCATTAAATGCCTGAAGTGCCGAGTGGTCTGTATAGATAGAGGTCCAGCATTAAATGCCTGAAGTGCCGAGTGGTCTGTACAGATAAAGGTCCAGCATTAAATGCCTGAAGTGCCGAGTGGTCTGTACAGATATAGATCCACCATTAAATGCCTGAAGTGCCGAGTGGTCTGTACAGATATAGATCCACCATTAAATGCCTGAAGTGCCGAGTGGTCTGTATAGATAGAGGTCCAGCATTAAATGCCTGAAGTGCCGAGTGGTCTGTACAGATAAAGGTCCAGCATTAAATGCCTGAAGTGCCGAGTGGTCTGTACAGATAAAGGTCCAGCATTAAATGCCTGAAGTGCCGAGTGGTCTGTACAGATAAAGGTCCGGCATTAAATGCCTGAAGTGCCAAGTGGTTTGTATAGATATAGGTCTAGCATTAAATGCCTGAAGTGCCGAGTGGTCTTTACAGATAGAGGTCTAGCATTAAATGCCTGAAGTGCCGAGTGGTCTGTACAGATAAAGGTCCAGCATTAAATGCCTGAAGTGCCGAGTGGTCTGTACAGATAAAGGTCCAGCATTAAATGCCTGAAGTGCCGAGTGTTCTGTATAGATATAGATCCACCACTAAATGCCTGAAGTGCCGAGTGGTCTGTATAGATATAGATCCACCACTAAATGCCTGAAGTGCCGAGTGGTCTGTATAGATATAGATCCACCACTAAATGCCTGAAGTGCCGAGTGGTCTGTATAGATAAAAGTCCAGCATTACATGCCTGAAGTTCTGAGTGGTCTGTACATATAGAGGTCTAGCATTAAATGCCTAAAGTGCCGAGTGGTCTGTACAGATAAAGGTCCAGCATTAAATGCCTGAAGTGCCGAGTGGTCTGAATAGATAGGGGTCCAGTATTAAATGCCTGAAGTGCCGAGTGGTCTGTATAGATAGAGGTCTAGCAATAAATGCCTGAAGTGCCGAGTGGTCTGTAAAGATAGAGGTCCAGCATTAAATGCCTAAAGTGCCGAGTGGTCTGTATAGATATAGGTCCATCACTAAATCCCCAAGGGCACGAAAAGGATCCTTCCCTTTGTTTTCCTTGCAATTTACATTATCATCATTATCTCCGAATTGTGATGTTAATCGATCGATCAGTGTGTCCCCTCTGGGCTGCTACCTAAAGATTGACCATCTCATTCTGAGATTGAAAAATCTCTATCTGGAAGGTAAATCCTAGATACCGTGTTCAACCTCTAAAGAAGTTATAATTAGGACTTCCTTAACGGTTTTACCAACCAGGGGTCACCTCCAATCTGTGCGGGCACGGACGTTTTGCTGTCGAGTATTTCCTGAAGGGATATTTGGTGATGAATAACACTTGCTTTCGTCACTCAAAAACAATCAGCCACTGTTAACGCATTTTCATTGAATGCCTTTTTATTTCTTCTGCATCCGATCTTCTTAGATACAATGCCAGGATTAGTAAATGACGTTCCTAATGATGATGCAAACTACTGAACGTCAATGTGCTAAGAAAAACCATCATCATCATCATATAGCAGGTCCTTTGCAAAACGTCGCTCTCATCACGGTCTACCTGAAAGAAATTCTGTCTTTCGCCAGCTCTCCCGCCTCATGCACTTTCATACTCAAGGAGTCACTTATATCCTGTGCCCATTTTCGTTACATGACGTTACAAAACCAACCCCAGCATTTTTTTTTTTAAATCTGTTCTGGTTTATCTTGGAAGCTGAAACATTTGGATCATATCAAGCGCCACAACGGATTGGAAAAAAATTATTGCAGAAGGCATGGTACCAGGAAGAAGGGGCAGGGGCCGACCGACACGAAGATTGGCACAGGATATTCTTCGTCATATATCATGTGCCCATCTTCGTGTTGGTCGGCCCCTGCACCTCCTTCCTGATACCATGCCTTCTGCTATATTTTCTTTCCAATCCGTTGTGGCGCTTGATATGACCAAAATATTTCAGCTTCTAAGAAAAACGAGAACAGCCAACAACAACAAAAAAATGCTGGGGTTGGTTCTGTAACGTCATGTAAATGATACGCAACTAAATGAAGATGCACTCTAGCAGGATACACAAACCATTATTCTTCTGTTTTTTGACAGTATCCCTTCTCCCTGGTGGTTTTCCTCAAGCATCTCATCTCACAAGAATATTTGTTTGTTGTTGTAATATCTCCCTGTGGTAATTGTAGCACTATGATGGCGTAATGATGAATACAGTGTAAATGTATAGATCATCGCCAGTCAGCATGTCCTTTACAGAACGTTTCTCTTTTCACGGCACGACTGCATGTCTCTCTTTTCGGGGGCCACTTTTCCAACCCTATGTTATTTCATAGCCAATTATTCTGCCTGGTTTTCCAGAAACACTGTAACGATCTCACATGGCCACCATGTGTGACATCGTCAAAATACTTCAGCTTTCAGGAGAGGCTGCTGTTTATGAGCCAGTTCTTTTCGATGTATGACATCATATAGGATGTCTGTGTCTGTGTTTTCTTCTGCTTGGTCCACTGTATACTATTATTTTGTTTTATTTTTTCTGTAGCGTTCCAGTTTAAAGGCTCCATTCTTTTCAACACAGCCTAAGAGTCGAAGACTCACATCATCTGTAAGTTACCCTGGAAAAACTGCATATTCTCATAATTTTACCTCACGGGCTGCTGCTGTGCCATAGATTGAAAATGAATAGAGAAGTTGTGACATAGCAATCCAATGATAGCCAGAGATGAAGTTCCTACTCTCTATAGCACAAAGCCTGGGCAGTATTGCAGAGACCATTTGTTGCCGGTGCGGCATGATCCTCTTTTTTTCATCTGTCTTGTTTTTTTTCCCCGTGAAGAACAGAATTGATACAATGGGGTAATTTAGCAGAAGATTAGGTTAGACGAAATTATTCTGTGTATAAAGTTAACACTTTTGATAATAAAAAGGCAATTAGAAAATTTTAACCAATCTCTGGAGATGCGAACATACAAAAGCTAATCAAACACTGAATTTGTGAAGAGACTAGAAAGAAAAAGACAGCTATTGAAGAAATAAAAAAAAATAAAAAAAAAAAGAAAGAAATTGTTTTGCTATTTTAAGATAAATAACACTGTTATTAAAATCACACTGGCGGGAAAAGTTTAAGGCAAGAGATGGAGAGACATACAGATATATAAGTTGGGAAAGAGGTGGGGGGGGGGGGGGGGCAGATAGCATCAGGAGATGTACGAACAGCAATCTGAGAAAGTGTACGTCATGGCAAACGACAGAGTATGATGATCTGTTGCTACCAACTTTCAAAACATTGTTTAATATTAAGTCAACTTCAACCGAATTTACATTTTCATGAATTTCTGACAGAGCATCTCCCCAGTGAACCTACAGATGTGGAAGCCATACCAGTGCATGATGGACTTTACGGATCTATTCTAGTGAAATGGGCAGAGCCGAAAAGAAACCCACAAGCTGTGACTGGTTACCTGATCATGTATAAACCAAGGCATCAGACATCCTATAGCTCGGTTAGTAAACCCAGCATCATTATCAACATTCTCAAATTCTTTCTCCTGGATAGAACAGACCAAATCACCATCTTTCATATCATTAATATAACAGACAAAGTCACCATCTTTCTTTCCTGAATAGAACAAAGTCACAATCTTTCTTTCCTGAATAGAACTGACAAAGTCACTATCTTTCTTTCCTGAATAGAACAGACAAAGTCACTATCTTTCTTTCCTGAATAGAACAAAGTCACTATCTTTCTTTCCTAAATAGAATTGACAAAGTCACCATCTTTCGTGTCCTAAATAGAACAGACAAAGTCACCATCTTTATTTCCTGAATAGAACAGACCAAGACACCATCTTTCGCTTACAAACTGGACATTGCAAACTGAACAAACATGTATATCAATTAGAAATTAGCTAGAGACTCCTTACCAGTGTCATCGTGCTGAAAAGACCCCATAACATATCTTTGGGAAAACCTAATAGCAGTGGCGTATGAAAAAGAAAGGGGAGAGGAGGGGAGGTATGTCCCGGGTGTCATCAAGGAGGAGTGACAAAGTAGCAAAAATATGTGTTTAAAAAATATATATGTGGTAGGGTAAAAATGGGGATTGGGGGGGGGGGGTGGTGATAATAATGGCATAAATATGATATTTTTATGTGTGTATAGGGCGGGGGTATGGGGGGGGGGGAGGTGAAGGAAATGTTCTACACCAAGCACCCTGCGGCCTTGCTATGCCACTGCTTAAAAGACCTCAAGCTGTCTTCCAGGTTTATGGCCCATAGCGAATCCAATGCAATATAAGAGATCACTGAAGAAGTCCCTTGCCGACTGGTGTGAGTATTCATGTGTCTACACAACAGCATGTTGCAGACATCTTTCGATACCATGACAAAGAACTGTTGAGAACATTGTCATATATATCCCTGCTTATCTCTCCCTAAAGCTTTCTGATTGTCACAACATTTTCTAGTTTTTCTGTTTCTCAGTCGTAAAAATTAGCTGCGTATCCTTTACAGGACGTTGCAGAACCAACCCCAGCACTTTCTGGCTGTTGTGGTTTTTCTAGGCAAATTTATGTCTAGTAGTTTGCCATTGCCTCTAGACTGTCGGCTCTCGGCACCACGGTTGAAACCATCGCAAGGCAAACCGTCCGCAGCAGGGATCGAACCTGGCACCTGGACATTACGATGCGCGCTTGCAAAGCCTAAGCCACAGACGCCAACCTGTTTTACAATATGCCGCCAACATTAAATGTATTTCAGGACCAAAACACTAGCCATACATTTATATATCTTCTTCTCCACGCTCACAGGCTGTAAACTCTAGGGGAAAATTATCTTTGTTCATCCACCTCTGGACTTTAATCTTGTTCTAGTACTCCAGTTTTCCATGCACTTCCATTTTGCAAATATGGCTTATTTGTATGCAGACAGTTGGTTTCTCACCTCTCAGGCGAGGATTTTTTTAAAAAAAATGTCTCACTTTTATAGCCTCATGCAAATGTTATATCAACATAGACTGATTACTACTGCAGTCGCCTTAGATGTTAATTTTGTTACTTTCAAGTTAAAAACCACTACTGATATGTCAAGACTAAAACAGTCGGCCTACCAGAAAATAACACAAGCTACAGTAAATTATTTATGGGACTCAATGAGTTAATGATAACTGTCTCTTTTTTTATTGTTTGTGATACGTTGTCTTTTCATCTTAACCTCTTTCACAACATTAAGATTACTTATTTTATTTACTTCTATGTAAGCATTCGCCAGATATGCAGTTTCACATTAAAAAGCTAATGTAAAATATTATGTGTAATGTTTACGGAGTTGCGGTTTTGTAGCCGAATGATAAAAATACCATGGGAATATAAAAAGAGTAATGAAGATGTCTTGAAAGAAATTGACTCACGAAGAGAACAGATTGCCCACAATAGAATCAATTAAAATTGTTTGTCATGTGATGAGAAAACTGGAGTATATCGTGACACTAGGAAAGCTGGAGAGGAAGAGCAGCCAAGAGATACCGAGAGAAACGATGCTGGACAGTTTGACATCATGGCATGGAAGATCATTTGTATCAGAGGTGAAAGTATACGAGTCAGAAGGCTGTGAATAGACATGACTACCAACGCCACAGGGCATCGACTTTCAGAAGAAGAATGCTTACTAATTTTCCTATGTGAATACTGGGGCCCTATTTTTAGTGGAGAAAGAATAGATCTAATGTCCTCCCTAATAAGCATGTCGTAAGAAGAGACTAATTATGGGTGTTTCGAAGTGGGAGTGCAGCTACCTAAGAGTCAAGCAAACAAATATCTGCCAAGAGGCAATGAACAAAAAGTATGTTTACAAATAAGCCAGATAAAAGATGGATGCAAACAGTTCTAGAACAAGACTAATGTCCAGAAATGGATGAACAATCATAACTTTCTGCCGGAGTTTACAAGTTTGAAGGCTGAGAGGAGGAGGAGGAGGAAGAATAAGAAGAAGAAGAAGAAGAAGAAAAAGAAGAAGAAGAAGAAGAAGAATAAGAAGAAGAAGAAGAAGAAGAAGAAGAAGAAGAAGAAGAAGAAGAAGAAGAAGAAGAAGAAGAAGAAGAAGAAGAAGAAAAGAGAAGAAGAAGAAGAAGAAGAAGAAGAAGAAGAAGAAGAAGAAGAAGAAGAAGAAGAAGAAAGAAGAAGAAGAAGAGAAAAAGAGAAGAGGAAGAAGAAGAAGAAGAAGAAGAAGAAGAAGAAGAAGAAGAAGAAGAAGAAGAAGAAGAAGAAGAAGAAGAAGAAGAAGGAAGAAGAAGAAGAAGAAGAAGAAGAAGAAGAAGAAAGAAGAAGAAGAAGAAGAAGAAGAAGAAAGAAGAAGAAGAAGAAGAAGAAGAAGAAGAAGAAAGAAGAAGAAGAAGAAGAAAGAAGAAGAAGAAGAAGAAAAGAATAAGAAGAAGAAGCGAAGAAGAAGAAGAAGAAGAAGAAGAAGAAGAAGAAGAAGAAGAAGAAGAAGAAGAAGAGAGAAGAAGAAGAAGAGAAGAAGAAGAAGAAGAAGAAGAAGAAGAAGAAGAAATAAGAAGAAGAGAAGAAGAAGAAGAAGAAGAAGAAGAAGAAAGAAGAAGAAGAAGAAAGAAGAAGAAGAAGAAGAAGAAGAAGAAGAAGAAGAAGAAGAGAGAAGAAGAAGAAGAAGAAGAGAAGAAGAAGAAGAAGAAGAAGAAGAAGAAGAAGAAGAAGAAGAAAGAAGAAGAAGAAGAGAAGAGAAGAAGAAGAAGAAGAAGAAGAAGAAGAAGAAGAAGAAGGAAGAAGAAGAAGAAGAAGAAGAAGAAGAGAAGAAGAAGAAGAAGAAGAAGAAGAAGAAGAAGAAGAAGAAGAAGAAGAAGAGACGAAGAAGAAGAAGAAAAAGAAAAGAAGAAGAAGAAGAAGAAGAAGAAAAAAGAAAGAAGAAGAAGAAGAAGAAGAAGAAGAAGAAGAAGAAGAAGAAGAAGAAGAATAAGAAGAAGCAGAAGAAGAAGAAGAAGAAGAAGAAGAAGAAGAAAGAAGAAGAAGAAGAAGAAGAAGAAGAAGAAGAAGAAGAAGAAAGAAGAAGAAGAAGAAGAGAAGAAGAGAAGAAGAAGAAGAGAGAAGAAGAAGAAGAAGAAGAGAGAAGAAAGACCTGAAGAAGAGAAGACAGAGAAGGTAAGAAAAGAAGAAGAAGAAGAAGAGAAGAAGAAGAAGAGAAGAAGAAGAAGAAGAGAAGAAGAAGAAAAAAGAAGAAGAAAAATAAGAAGAAGAAGGAGAAGAAGAAGAAGAAGAAGAAGAAGAAGAAAGAAGAAGAAGAAGAAGAAGAAGAAGAAGAAGAAGAAGAAGAAGAAGAAGAAGAAGAAGAAGAAGAAGAAAGAAGAAGAAGAAGAAGAAGAAGAAGAAGAAGAAGAAGAAAAAAGAAGAAAAAGAAGAAGAGAAGAAGAAAGAAGAAGAAGAAGAAGGAGAAGAAGATTAAGGGGAAGAAGAAGAAGAAGAAGAAGAAGAAGAAGAAGAAGAAGAAGAAAGAAGAAGAAGAAGAAGCAGAAGAAGAAGAAGGAAGAAGAAGAAGAAGAAGAAGAAGAAGAAAGAAAAAGAATGACGAAGAAGAAGAAAAAGAAGAAGAAGAGAAGAAGAAGAAGAAGAAAAAGAAGAAGAAGAAGAAGAAGACGAAGAAGAAGAAGAAGAAGAAGAAGAAAGAAGAAGAAGAAGAAGAAGAAGAAGAAGAAGAAGAGAAGAAAGAAGAAGAAGAAGAAGAAGAAGAAGAAGAAGCAAGAAGAAGAAGAAAAGAAGAAGAAAAAGAAGAAGAAGAGAGAAGAAGAGAAGAAGAAAGAAGAAGAAGAAGAAGAAGAAGAAGAAGAAGAAGAAGAAGAAAGAAGAGAGAAGAAAGAAGAGAGAAGGAGAAGAAGAAGAAGAAGAGAGAAGAAGAAGAAGAAGAAGAAGAAGAAGGAAGAAGAAAGAAGAAGAAGAAGAAGAAGAAGAAGAAGAAGAGAAGAAGAAGAAGAAGAAGAAGAAGAAGAAGAAGAAGAAGAAGAAGAAGAAGAAGAAGAAGAAGAAGAAGAAGAAGAAGAAGAAGAAGAAAAAGAAGAAAAGAAGAAGAAGAAGAAGAAGAAAAAGAAGAAAAGAAGAAGAAGAAGAAGAAGAAAAAGAAGAAGAAGATGAAGAAGAAGAAGAAGAAGAAGCAAAAGTATACATCACTTTAATGATTGAAGTATCTTTATTTATCTTTATCTTGTTATTTTCAATCTCTAAACAGGTAAAAATTACAGATCCAAAATCGCTGTCCTATCGTCTGGATGGAAAAAAGTTTCAGATTGAGTCCGATATGGACTACAAAATTCGAGTGTCAGCTTTAGCGGTTCACGGTGTTAGCTTTGGCTCTGTTGAAGTGGACATCTACATAGCCAATTGTAAGTTTTCTTTTTTTTTTTCCTCTGTAAAAAGTCTTTATAATGTAAAAGTCTCCAGAGAAAAGGTTTCTTCTTCTTTTTTTCATCTTCCCTTTCACTTCTCTTCTTCTTATCCTCCTCCCTTCCAACTTCTATTTCTAATAATATATGTAACAGTTAAGTTCAAACATCTCAATCGTTTTCTTTACTGATTGTGAACTTGTCTATATCCTACAGATGTCTGTGTACGCATGTGAATAATGGATGGTAGTCAGAGGGGCGTTAATATTTTTAATTCCTTTGACAGCTAAGAAAAGCAACCCATATGTTTTGAAAGAGGCGAATGTCCGAAGACAACATATCACAAACATCAGAAAGAGACAGTCATAATTTTTGGGTCATGTTATGAGAAGAGGGAAAATGGAACATGTTGTGATCACTAGAAAGATCTGTGGAAAGAGAGACAGAGGTAGATAGCGTGATAAGTTTCTTGACAGTCTTTTGTCAAGGCGTGGAGGGGTGTCAACACACAAACTGATATACGCAGTTTCAGAACGCAGATTGTGGAGATGCATGATCGCCTACGCCAGTCGACAAGTCACTTGATGATGGTGAACCAGAGGAGAATTTTAAAGTCCATGTCAACTGCGACTTTTTCTGGCTAGTATTTATTTCCGGTGATCATATATATGTGAGATTTCCTTCTGGCCAGACAGAAATATGATTTCTATCAAAGATACGTCAGTTTAGTGATTTCATGTATTCTTGTTTGTACTTGTGGTATTGAAGGTAGATTAAATATGCTGATGAATGCTTTTTAGCCTCAATGTTTTCTTGTCTTTTCTATTTGTGATTTTGCAAAGTTGACTGGTTTAACTTTTCTTTTGGTTTTATATCTTTTTATTAGGGTTTAGGGTTTTTATTTAGTGATTGTCAGCATTGTTTTACTTTATACTTCTTTCCTAAAATAGACATTATAAGTAAGTGTAATTCTCTTTTTCAGCAACCAAGCCAGCGCAAATTATTGCAGATGTTGATAGTAAGCTGTTGTTTGTTTATATAAACTATGGATATATATTTAATTCTAGACATTAATTGTTAATTTCAGTTTTATCACAAGGCTTCTGTTTTGTGTATGTTTGTAACTTAAGACAATATTCGCAAATCCTGAGCTTCATTAAAATGAGGCCAGTTTATTTGTTTTATTACTTTTTTTGGTATCAAGAACTTATTACATGTTAAATTGTTGGTGCAAATAAGGTCTTTTATGTTTACCCCTTTTCCCTGCCACATTTTTTACGTTAACTTAATCTTTCCTAATTGCACAAAAATGCTGACTTTTATATAGTAGAGATTCTTATTACAGCAAGAGGTGAGGACATGATTTAATAGTATGAAACAGGTACAATTATTCATTTTCACAGCAAATCAGCAAGAAGGAAATAATCAACTGTAGGGGAGAAAATTACTAAAAATATAGCAAAGTACTGAGGTAAAAGGGAGTCGCCGTGGCGGAGCGGCTAGACGCTCGCCGCGGATCGGAAGGTCGTGGGTTCGCTATCTGGCGGAACCGGACCTTTCTCGAAAATGACCTAGGCTCCCAGGTCGACCAAGCCTTGAGTAGGTACCGGGTGCAGTCACGGGAGGCAAAGGCAACCGGCGTGATGCTTACCACATCACCCATCTTGTGCCTATTGTCTAGCCCTGTATGTCCTATACGCCTAAAGTCATGGAAAAGGGTCCTTTACCTTTACTTTAATACTGAGGGTAAAATTGCCAAGAAAATCCACACAAAAAAAGCCATTCTTTCTCTTTTTGTGGTTAATCTCTGATTTACATTTACAAACAAGTTCATGTGATAAAATTGACCATTTTTGGAGTTCCTCTTTAATCCCACAAACAGCCAATAAATCTTGGGGGTTGTTTGTAAAGTTCTGAAAAGAATATGCAAATTAACATTATTTAACCTATCTTAAACATATTCTCATTCACTATCATATACTGGTATACCATTTATCTTGCCAGTTTGCTGCTCACATCGAGGTGTAGGTGATGTCTGCAGGAACTTGCTTTGTCATTCCCGGACCTGGTCCAAGTTTGACACCCAGCAAATCCTCGGCTGCTATCCTGACCTGGATGAAATATTTACTTGCCTTGTAGGTTAGTATTTGTCCACGAAATGATAACTGTTTAATCTTCAGAAGTTTTTGTTAAACTTATGCTGAAGGTTAAAGTAATCTTTAGTAAACTTGTGAGCTGGGTTATTCTCACAGTGCTCCTAGCAGCTTCACTGATGCTCCGATTCCCTGCTGAACATATGCATTAGTGTTCAATGACTAAAAGTGTAGTAATATGCAAGATGACCAAAAATTTTTACCAACTATCATGTGCGCCTCTCATGCCTGGGTGTGCCAATCTTTACTCCCAGTTATTACATGGGAGTGGAGAAGGCAGAATGGAGATTACAGACCAGAGAGTGACAGCATAAACAACAGGAAAGAACAAACAACAATTTTTAGACTTTGGACTGGACACTGTGGTCTTCGAGCACACCTGTACAGGATAGGCATAAAAGAATCTGCTGTCTGCGATTGTGGAGGAGAAAGACAGACCCCTGGGCACATAATACAGTACTGCCCTTACCTTTCCCAGCAAAGACTGTGGATCTGGCCCAAGGGAGCCACATTGAAAGAGAAGCTATGGGAGACCGGTAGCAACCTTAAACGCACAATCCTATTTATGACCCAGACGGGATTCAATTTTTAGCATGACTGATGTCGAACGCAGAAGAAGAAGAAGAGTTATTGCATTCCTAATAGAGGTGGGGATGCACAGCCTCCAGAATTCTCCAGTCATCCCCTCTCTCTAATCGCATTAAAAATAATAGCCAACATCTGTAACTATTGCCGTGCCTTATGATCTATCTATCCTATTTTTTGTCAACAGCACTCATATTACCTAACAAAAGTGTGAAGTTAACTCCAAGCATGGTGGACCCTTCCAGTGACTCAGTCCACTGTATACGCTCTCTCTGAATATATGGAATGCATGCTTGAGTACTCAAGGTTCCTTCAAGGTGTCTGTATAATGTGTAAAAGTCTACTAGGAATATAAAGTCTGAGTTCATCCCATTTTAATACAAGATTCTGGTACTTCTCTTTAACTCATGTAGTCCCAAGCTGCTCACCATGAGTATGTTGGTTTCTACCCACTTTCTTAACTTTTTGTGCCATATTCAAGCATTCCATTAACTGACTGTTGAATTAATATCTTTTGTATAGCTGTTATTTATTTTTGGTTTGATTTTCTCCAAATATTACAATGAAAATTAAATTATAATAATCAAATTAATAACAATTTTAGTTGTGCATATATGCAGGGCTTTCTTTATTTCTGGGGATGTGCTGTCTGTGGCTTGGTAACGCCAAAGTGCCGGGTTCAATCCCAGCTGAGGACAATTTGACAACATAACATCTTGCGTTGATTTTGACAGTGGTACTAAGAGTTGACCGTTTAGGAAGCAAATGGCAAACTACTGAACGTAACCATTGCCCAGAAAAACATAGCCCCCCCCCCCCCCTCTCCCCACAAAAAAAAAATCCTGGGGTTGGTTCTGCAAAAGCAGTGACGGATAATAAAGACTGACCGTTAAATAAGTGGCGGTTAATCGAAGTTTCACTGTATATATTCAGCTATTTTTCTAGAAAACAAAACTAAAATATATATGAATTAAGAAAGATTAGTATTTTACCATAAATGAAACCATTTTTATCCGTAAAGGAGAGCGCAACCACAGCAACTGCTGTGCTGCATTTGATGTGACTGCTGATTGTCTTCCGGTGTGTTCTGGCCAGCCTCCAGCATTCACAGACTCTCTGATCACTTGTGTCAGCCAGATGGGCATTATTGAGGCTTGTGTACAGCAGGGCTATGGTAATGTCGTGTCCATTTTTGCTCGTAACTTTATGAACCAAAGTATGCCAGTTTTCAGAACTTATTTAGAATGAGTTGAATTAACAAAACCTAGAAAAGGAAATAACACAAACATAACGTCATGGGAGAAAAAAGCTATAAACACTTGGTGACAATAAGGAAACATGATAGAAAAGAGCATCAGAAAGACAAACACACACACACACACGTACACACGCACACACACACACACACACACACACACACAGGATTACAGAAAAACAGAAAACCATGACACTGGGCTACAACCTGGTATCAATGAGATGAAAAAAAAAAAAAAAGACAGAATAAATTAAATAAACAGATGAGCAATGTTGCTGTAATTAGACTTCATCAGCATAATGATGAGAAATCAAACATAACCAAAAAAAAAAAGTAACTTATTCTAAAGTTACTAAATTATGGTATTTTGTGAAACAAATATAATAAATAAATAATAACAATAACCATCCTCTTCTTCGCTTTCACCGGCTGTAAGATCCGATGCATAGTTTAGTATTGATTGTAAACATATCAGATATGCTTTCTTGTTTGCTCTCACTGCCCTTTGGGAAGTGAGGTACATGGCCACGATGTTATCTAGCAATTTCCCTTGTATCCCATAATCCTCATAAATATATGATCTGCTGAAATAAGCGTATGATAATTGAAAACTTACTGGGACTAGATGGTTCCAGAGAACTACAGGGGAGAATAAGGCAGTGCATAACAAGAACAGAGATTCGCATATGAGATGTCAATCTATCTTAAAGCTGAATAAATGTATCCCAGATCACTTTGTCCGTAATGAAAGACTACGCAGTACTATTACTATAATTGTTTGAAAGTAGATTTAAAATGTATTGAATGTGACAATCTATACATCTGCAATCTTATATAATTAGTATATAGGCTATGCGATATTGCAAAACAAAACATATTGTTAAACATAGATATACTTGTATATTATTTAAAAAGAAAAAAATCTCTTTATTTCCCACTTATAACCCTGATGGGTTGAACAGGTATTGTTATTCGAATTACTACTCCTTCAAATCAGCATGGAGCTTGATTTTTTTTCATACATGACCTTCACTTCCAGGTCAACCCAGCCTTAAATAGATACAAGGGAAAGTTCTGGAAAAATAAAGGCAGCTGGCATGATTTTGACCAATCATCTATCGAGGACTGATTGGTCTATAAATATAAAAGTGTAACCTCATATATCTAAAGTTGCACTACGAGTTTAACCCCCCAACTCATTCCCACAGAGAGCACTTAAGTTCGTTACCCAACATGCCACAGCAATTTTCATCGCCGAACATTTGGATCTGAAAGCGGGAGCTGGATGCTCCGGTTATATGGTATTTACGTATACCGGAGCTTAGCTGTCACCACAACCCGATCACATAATAGCAAATGACGACTGGACCCGCTTAAGGTTCAACACAACCTTTCACACACATATCCATTACATGACTAACCCGTTCATATTACAGGAAGACAACTATAAGACCACTATGGTCACACGCGGAAAATTTTCACATTTTGGAACTATTCAAATTTAAAAACTGTTTTCAGTACTTTTTGGCAAAATAAAATACTCAAAATTTTAAAACAATAAATGGTGGTCCAAAGGACGTTGTGTATGGAAGCTCGCTCTCCTACGAGATACGTCTAGCCAGATCAAAGGGAGACAAAACAAACAGGAAACACCAAGAAAGAAGAAGAAAGACATGCACCAGTGAAAACTCGTTGGAGGACGAGCGGTTTGATTCGGATGGAAGCATCAAGCCCAGAAATGGCACAAACACTTGAATTCAGTCACGAAAGTAACGCAAATAACCCAGACCACAAATATAGGCGGAGACTGCTAGCAGCCTCGGCTAGCTAGCAGCAGTCAGAACGTGGTCGAGCTTTTCTTTTTTTTTTTCTCTGAAAAGGACTTGGACTTGACATATCTAAAGTTTTGTGTGTGTGTGTCCTTGTTAGGACGAAATTTTTTGTTATTTGAAGCCCCACCCTGGCTTTAGCCAGGGGCCGCAATATAGGCAGGCCATAAATATGGTCAATTGTCTGAACGCGGTTTCTGGGACCTCTCCACGGCGATCCTCATTCACATGGAGGCACTTTGTGTCATCGGGTGTTTATCGCTTGTGTGATGTCCTGGTGGGGTAGAAAGTCAGTCAGTTAGTCATATCTAAAGTGTCAATGGCGTGTAAAGAGATCCTGACAATTTTTTTCTTTTGAAATGACTTTATTAACAGGAATTGTTTTTCTTAATTTGTCAAGGCATCCTGCCTGCCCCTCCTACAGAAGTTATGGTTGCCGAAGTGGAAAGTACAGCAGCAACTGTCAAATTTAAGCCTTCGTCATCGGATAATGTCATTTATTATATAGTGCAGTTAAAATCAGGAAGTGAAAATGCCTCATTTGAATCTGCAGTAAGTAGCTAACTATAAGCACATTGGCAGCTATGAAACTCTTTTAACTACAGTGAAAAGGAGAAAAATGCAATGGTCTTCTTCTGTCTTTCTATCCCCCAATGGAGCGTAGGCCCTCACCCAACTCACGCCAAGTCGTTCTATCCTTCGCCATTACCTGGAGCTCTACCCATGTCCTCCCCATCTTTCTAACTTTATTCTCTAGCTCTCTTCTGTTTTTGGCCATCCTTTATTCCTATGTCCCTGTGGGTTCCAATGCAAAGACATTCTAGTTATGCTTTTCTCTTGTTTTCTCGCTGTGTGTCCTATTCAACGCCAGCGTCTTTTCCCCACCTCTTGGTTCTATGGAGCCTTTTAGTTCTCTCCCAAAGCTCTACATTAGTTATTCTATCATACCATTTAATTCCCTCTATTCTGAGCAAGCACCAGTTCTCCATGTTTCCGCCCCAAACAAGAGTACTGATCTGACATTAGAATAATGTAATGGTATGGGCATGTAGTTACAAAAACAATACTGCAGGGCTCAGTAGAGGGAAAGGGGAAAAGAGGCAGACCAAGAAAGACGTGGTTACAGAACCTGACTGACTGGACAGGCCTCAGGCATGCAACCATGGTCCATCGCAACTGACCGCCAAAGGTGGAGAGAGCTGATCAGTCAACAAAAAATGGTAACCAAACGACACGTAGTGTTACAGGATGGTGATGGTGATGATGATGATGCTGAGATAACTCTTTCTTTTCCAGGTTTTGTAAACTAAACTCATTGTAAATAAGTTATGAAAGCTGACATGAGAAAGAGCGCACACAGAGAATCTGAAAAAGACGGTAAAAGTGAAGTAAAAGAGCGAGAACTTCTTGTTCGCCTCCAGTGTCAGTGTTGAAGATGCATGGGTGCAAGCCTTTTGATTTCCGTTCATAAAAGAGGCTATGAAGCCAGGTCATGAAAAATTTCAAGTTCTGAAAGTAAACAAAAAAACCAAAAACTTTTCCCGGCGGGGTTTTTACGGGGGGGGAAACCTTTTACTTACTTACTTGGGTCGCCCCTTCTTCAAACCTTGGGGGTAGGGGTTTGCCAGAGTGATCGCCAGACGGCTATATCAGCATTTTTCTTTCTGGCTTTTTCCCTTTTCCAGCCCCCTCGTAAATTGGGGACTGTCGGATTTTTGTTTTCCCAGCGCCCCGGGGTCGTCCCGGGGGTTTCTATTTCCCCTGGTTTTACCCTCCCATGTTGCCATGGGGGCCCGATTTTCTCCATTCTGCACACAGGGCCCAAAACCATCGTAACGTGACTGACTACTGGGGTTAGAAAAGGCTGGGTATCGATCTGAGGGCTTGTTGATTGCGGACTTTGCCCTTCTTTTTTCATTTGGGCCCACCTTTCTCGGGTTTTATCTTTTTTCCGGGCCGGGCAGGGCTTCTTTTAGCTGTTTTCATTCCCCCAAGATTTCCACCCATGGGTGGGGGACGGAACATTTTTTGAGGGGTTTAAACAGCCTTTTCGTTTTGCCTTTTCCTTTTGCTAAAAAACCCCTCGGTTTAGGGCCGGGAAGAGCCCCCAGAAAGCTGCTTTTCGGTAGCCGCTCAGTTTTAAAACCCCTCCATTTTGGTCTTTTTAGGGAAGGTTTCCCTTCAAATTCAAAATAAAGGGAAACTAACGGGCTGCTTTAAAAAAAAAAAAAAAGACAGACTTTAAAAACCGATGGGGCAGGGCAAAACCCCAATATCGGAACGGACAAAAGCCCAAAATTTTTGAGCCAGCCAAAAACTTTCTATTGGGTTTACTGTTTGGGGAAACTTTGAGAGGGGGGGGGGAGGAGGAGGAGAAAAGAAGAAAAAAAAGGGAAGAAGAAGAAAAGAAGAAGAAAAAAAGGAAGAAGAAAAAGAAGAAAAAAAAAGAAGAAGAAGAAGAAGAAGAAAGAAGAAAAGAAGGAAGAAAGAAAAAGAAGAAGAAAAAAAGAAAAAGAAAAAGAAGAAAGAAGAAGAAGAAAAAAGAAGAAGAAGAAAAGAAGAAGAAAGAAAAAAAAAAAAGAAGCGAAAAGGGGAAAAAAAAGAAACATGACAGCAATTAATTATACTTTTTTGGAATGACCCCCAAAAAGTACAGAGTTTTGGTTGGTACAAAATTTTTTGCAGCATGATTTTTTAAGAGCAGGGACCCCCCCCCGTCCCCCCCCAAGCAAAAAAAAAAATTAACCCCAGATCCCCCCGGGGATTGTGATGACTTGAATTTGACTAAAGCTGTTTTGTCAGTTTTAAGACTTTTTCTCAACAGAAAACTATCCAGTCATGAAGACTGTCCATCTAGTGCCTGAGACCAACACCTAATTGGGTAGAAAATCCTAAGAGACAGATAAACACCCTTCCTTTTAAAAAAAATGTCTCATTTTAACCTACCCGGGGAGTATTTAACTTTTAATTTTTAA